CCGAGCCGCCCGCGCGGGCCCTGCGCTGCGCGTGTGTCCGGTGCGCAGAGCGCGAGCGCTCCCGCGCGGCCGAGGCCGGCGTGACCGTGCGGGACGTGGTCGTCGAGGAGAGCGACTGCGACGACGCCGAGGCCGGCGTCGGCGTGAGGCGTGCGAGGGAGTGCCGCGGCGCCCTGCCCTTCGTCCCGCCCGGGTGTGCGGGCGTCGCGGTGTGCGTCGAGCTGCTGGAGGACGTCGACGCCGACGAGGCGGACGGCGTGGGCGAGACAGGCCGCGCGGGCTGCAGGATGGGCTCCGTCGCGGACGGCGGGAGCCCTTTTGGGGTGGCGGAGCGGTTCGCGGCCGCCTCGGCCTCGGCGCGGAGCGCACGGAGGGAGGAGACCATGTACTGGCGGACGCTCGTCAGTAAATCCCTGCAAAAATATACGGGCAATAATGTGCGGCTGCCACGCAGACGGCCCCCACGCGGCGACGCGTCATGCAGACATACACGACAGCATTCACCGGGACCACCTCAGAAATGGCCCGCTACCCAGAACACAGCGGTCGATGTCAGTGGGTCGTCCACGATGTTCATGGGCGAACCGCTGACACGGACACACGGGCTGTACTGTGGATATCCGACCACACTCCACTCATCTCTGGTTCACGGTGCGGCACTCGGGAAACGCGACATACTTTCCGGGTATCAGCGGGGAGCTCATGCTCATAGCGCAAAAAGTCATCCGCATAGTCCCACTCCTCGAGGCGGGGCAGGAGGTGCAGGCAATACAGCTCGAGCACCTTCGCATACCCCGCAGCGTCCTCCGCCACGTCCTCCTGGCCCCTGCGCGCGAGCCAGTCCTCGACCATGCTCCTGCCCACGGCGGTGCAGTCGAGCTTGAGGCTCGCGAGCGCGAGGGTGACAAGGATCTGCGCGGGCAGAAACGCCGCAGACGGCTGTGCGCGGTCGGCGGGCGTGAAGAGCTGCAGCGCGCGCGCGTGGGTCGTGGCGACGAACGGCTCGGGGGAGAGCATCAGGTGTGCGCGGAGCGCAGGCGGGAGTGCGGCGGGATCGGGTGCGGGCGGGGCGGCATACAGGGTCGTCTCGAACGTAATGCGGAGGATCTCCCACTTGCGGCGGGGTGTGGCGAGCGCATCAGGGGTGCCAGGCGGGGCCTGCTCGAGCACCGAGAAGGCAGAGGCGAGCAGGGAGTGGGTGAGGGCGACGTCGCGCTGCAAAAAGGCCTTTGCTGCGCGGGGATAGAGCGAGCGTAGAGTCGAGTTGGCGGACGACGCCGCGGACGGGCTGGGTGCTGCGGGGGACGATGAGGAAGATGCTTTCAGGCTGAGGCTGACCTGGGAGCTCGCAGCGGTGGTGGTGGTGAGGCTAGGCATGGGCGTAGGTTGCTGTGCACATGAGAGTCTGAGGCTGGGACGTGGTCGTTCGGTGGCGGAAGCGGTTAGCCAGCTGCGGCCGACCGTGCGAACAGGCATCCCTCGGTCGAGACTCGGGCTCATTTGCCGGCACGCCGACGGGCAGCTCGTCGAATTCACCTTGAAAACGCGCGTGCGTGACGGTGCGCAAGGTGCGCTCACTTCAAACGACGGGTCGGAACGATGGCCAAAACGTAGCACTTCCGCACACGGTGGTCGCAGAGCATAAATCCACGATAAAGTAGTCGCTCTATAAAGTGCTACAAAGAAAGCCGCAGTTCCATAGTAAAACAAGGACGGCAGGATCCAAAAACATAGTCCTGACTGTTACTGCTGTGCACGCAGAAGTTAGACAAGGCCGAGTAGCACTTTTTATCAGGTGCCAAAACCCATCCTAGAGACCCTTCGCAAAGCAAGAGCCATTCCAAAATCCTGACCGATAGGCAAGTGAGGACGCACGTCTCGGCCGAGCGCCTCACGGACAGCGCGGGCAGCACATGAAAGCGGCAAAGAACTGGCCATCGGACGGGGACGATGGGCTAGAAGGAGCATAAATTTCCGCCGTCGAGAGTGGGCAGACCGCAGAACCCCGCTCACGGGCCCTCGAACGCACAAGGCGCAGCCGTCTTCGCAGCGCACGCCCCACGTATCACGATGCACGAAGACCCGACCGCCAACGTGATTGTAGAGGGAACGTCAGGGAGAAGAAGAGGCAAAGAAGCCGCCTGGATTCACTCACCAGGCCTCATAACTGAATCGGCGCATGATTGTGGTAAACACACGCCTGGAGGCAGACATACCCGACACGGAGCCGCGAGGCATCGCTGGGCAGTGGATGCCCGCTCTCCCATTCGCTCTTCGCAGCTGGATCCGTCCGCCGTCCGCCAACAGCACAGCGCCAGTGCTTGCAAATTGGCTGCGCCCGTCCGAAGCCCCAACGCTGAAACCGCTCAGAGTCTGGCGGCGTCGACGTCGCCTCTGAGAGCGAGGAATTCACCGAGATCGGGGAGCGAGCTGCGCCGCGCTCGCCAAGTAGGGCACCGCCAAAATCATCATCATTATGGCCAGCCTGACAGAATAAAAAGAGCACCGTCCGCGCTGGTACGGTGGTGTCCCATTATGGATCTTGGACGCCCGCGAGCTTGCTTGCACACGGGAACCACAGGACCGCGCTGCGCTGGGACGCAAGAGCCCCCGGCCGCTGGAGGGATGACGGGCGCACGCCTGGGGGTTGGACACGAGGGCAGACACACCGTCGAGGGGGGCGTCGGTGCGAGCTCATGGCCGGCCAGTGGAACTTGGCATGCGCAAGGAGCGGCAGCCACTGGGGGGGGGGGGGGG